GCCTGGCAAATAGCAGTGGTCCGATAAATCTCAAGATGCCACTTTTTTTTCCTCTCATACCTCAGCTGTGGCTGATAGCAAAGAGATGTGAGACCAAGCTGGCAGAAACAATGGTACATGGTCAAGGCTCTCCTTCCAGCTCCTAGATTAGCGCTACCAAAGTCATTTCAGCTGCCCACAATCACCTCAATGGCAAGTTCTGTAACTGAGAGATTGTCAGTAGCTGAGAAGATTCCTTTTACCTGGAAGTCTGTGTGCTTACTGGCCACCCGCTGTGAGAGAATTAGATCCCCACACAAGCACTCAACTTGTGGTACTGGGTGCCTCAGGTATCCACACCCCATGAGAGTTGAACAAATGGTAACTAGACAGCAGCAGTATCAGGACCCGTACGAGAATTTCTGTCCCTTTTGGAGATCTGGTCTTTGTCTGCTTCTTGGTACTCCAACCGCACAGGCTTCCTAACTTCTGTGTTGGTTTGACAGAGTGATGGAACTGCATATTGTTGATGAACTAGGGGGTCAAGACCTTGTACCCACCTCAGCTTTCTCGTGCTTGGCACTACTGTTAGCCTCCTGGCAGCAGTCAGCTTGTCCACGTGGCTGTCTACTGTTGTGCCTGCAGAGACGTTCGTGACAGCTCAGGTGGGGTCAGGGTGGAGGAACCATGATGACACCTTGTGTCCTTTGGCGTACAAAGAGCGGCAACTTTGGAGTCAGGCATGGCCTTGAATCCAAACTGTCGTGTTGTCTCAGTTCATTATCGCTGCTGCACTGAATGCCACCAATGGAGTGGCTGTAAGCCACTTAATTCTCCATTCTGGAGCTAATATCTGAGAGTCGGGGTGACAGGATGATCCACGGTTCTGTTGGGATCTCTCTGCAGTTGTCTGTGCTCCAACATCAGTGAACGGGAGCTGGCTGCCTGGCTTCTTTTATAAAGACCCCACTGTCATAATCTAGTTGCCTCCCAAAGACCTACCTAAAGATTCACCTTCTTCTCTGCAAGTCATGCGATTTCACTCTTTATGCTCAATAAAACTCGTGTGTGTGTATGTGGTACAGACATATATACATATATGTATATATATATATATATGTATATATATATATAACATGAAGTTATATGTGGATCTATCTGATCAAAAGAAAGAGACTAGCAAGGGAGAGGAGAAAGTAGAACATACAGGAGGAGTGAATATAGCCAATGTACATAACATAACTAAAATGTCAGCGTAAAACCCACTACTATGTAGAACACATATGCTAATAAAAATAAACCAATAATTATTTAGAGTGCTCACCACTAAATACCATCACAATGGATGAGTAGAGCAACAATTATGTATTTTTTTTAATGAGCTAAACCTTCGATTCATTTCCCTAAGTAGTGGCTTCCCTTCCTTGGGCCTCCGTGTGTTCATCTCCCAAATGAGGGAACTGCTGGTTTTAAAGATCCTGTTCCAGCTTTGGGATTTAGCATTTAATACTTACATTTTAAGCAAATACTGTTGGTGAGCTATCTGCCTGACATGCCCTGTGTGTCCCGCACCCATCCTTCCTGTACCGTGCAGAATCTTACCAAGCAAAAGAGCCGCAAAGGCAGAGAACTCGCCTGAGCCCCACTTACAGAAATGGAGACCTAAGCTGCAGAGAAAAGAAGGGTATTACAACTTGTACATAAAATGCCCCCCCCAAAGGCTCCAGGTTTGAAGGCTTGGTCCACAGCTAGCGCATACAGCCATGGGGAAGTGGCTGGGTCATGAACTGTTAGCAGCCGTGATGGATTAAACCATGGAAAGGGTCATAATTTAAAAGAATTAGTAAGGGAGCAATGGAAATGAGATTCATTTGGCTCAAGGAATGAGGTCAGTGGGGACACTATCTGAAAGGTTTGTCTTGTTCTAGCCCCTATCGTCTCTCTGCTTTCTGATCGCCTTGACCTGAGTAGCTTCCTCTTCCACACCCTTCTGCCATGATGTTTAGTGCCTTATCACAGGGCATGAAGCCAGCTGGCCATGGATTGAAACCTCTGCCACTATGAGTCAAAATAAATCTCGGCTTTAGATTGTTTTTCTCTGGCATTTTGTCACAGCAATAGAAAGCTGGAACCCAAAAGAGCTGCCTGTCGGTAAGGGGTGGAGTCAGGCCTGGAACTCTGGGTTGTCTGTCTCCTAGTTCCAGTACGTACCCCCCAATCTCTATCACACACGCACACACACACACACACACACACACACACACACACACACATCATAGAGAAAAAAAGCAAGAGGCAACACATACTCTTACTTTAGAAATCAAGTTGTCAAAAGTTTTATTCAGACTAGAGAAGCACATTTCTAGGGAAGGCTGCCACCCTCAAAACCTGAGCTCTCCAAAGTACCTACTGGTTAGCTTCTATGGTCGAATAACAGAAAGTGGGGGAGAACTGGCTGAGCAGCCAAGATGTCTAGGGGAGGGGAGAAAACACCACTCAGCGAGTACATTCAGCTCTGAGCCTAGTCTCACCAATTTCATTTCTTGCTTAGATGAAGTTGTTTGGAGGGAGAGAACTGAACACGAGTCAGTGGAGAGATACAACCCGGGGGCTTCTCTCCAGGAGGCTGGGGTTAGCCTACCCTGATTTTCCTTCCATAATCTTTTGATTAAACTGGGTCAGTTTGAGTGACAGTTTTCAAGCCTCCTGTGTTTAGCAAGTCAAGCCAAGCCCAGGCGTGTTTCTCAGGATCTGCACCTATCATCTTGGGACTAAAGGTCACTCAGAGCTGGGGATGTCTCTAAGCTCTGAGGCATATTGGATTTGCAGAGATTCACGAACTGGCACTGGTAAATTCTGCCCACAACTCCCAGGAACTGAACTGGTGGCCTGCCATCCCAAATGTGACAAAAATAAGAGGGATAGTGATTGCCATCTTCCGCTGAGTGTTGTGGCTTTTAGGAGGAACTCTATACTTATCCCAGTTCCCGTCGGGAGTTTTCTGCTCATATCCCCAAGGCTCAAGGCCCTTGAAGCACTTGCCAGAGTCACGTAGAAGATCACAACAGTGATTTTTTTTTTTTAGAGGAACAATCCCCCCAATCAAGCTTCTCAGCAGAGTCACCTCCTATTGTCTCCATTAAACTGTGCCTCCATTAAAATTAACAGGCTGAAGTCCTAACCTCCAATGTGGTTATATTTGGAGACAGGACCTTGAATGAGGTAGTTTAATGAGGTCATTTGGGCGGGGCCCTGATCCCTCAAGACTGCTGTCCTTATCAAAAGAGGAAGACACAGTAGGGACCTGATGAAGTGCCCACCTACAAGCTGGGGAGAGAGACCTCACCACACACCAACTCCTCCAGCTTGACCTTGACCTTTGCCCTCCAAAACTGGAAAAATGTCGATTTGTTATTGAAGGCATTTCTGATTGGTGATATTCTGTTAAGGTGGTTCAAGCAGATTAAATGCCTTTTTCTTATATTCTTTATTGTGATAAATATCCATAAAATTACATTTAATAAGCCACTTTGCAGTGTACAGTTCAGTAAAATTACATTTAATAAGCCACTTTGCAGTGTACAATTCAGTGGCTTGGGGTACATTCATGCTGACACCACCACTAATGCCCAAAACGTTTTTCATTTTTGTAACACAACTCCCATTCTCCCTAGCCCCAGCCATCACCATTCTACTGTCTGTCTTAGGATTCTTGTCTATGCTAAGTACTTTGTGTAAGCAGACTAGTATTCTTTTGTATCTGACTTGGTACACTTAACAGGTTTTCAGGATCCGTTCATGAAAACATGTGGCCTGGGTTTGCATGTCATTCCTTTTGAAGTAATGGAGTATTGTTTCACTGTGTGGCTGGGTCAGAATGGGCTTATCCGCTCATTAGTCAGTTCACCATTCTGGTATTTAAAAATACAAAGCAGAGACTGCCTCCAATGGATTCTCGACAAACCTTTGAAAGGTTTATTTATTTTATTTTGCATATGCATATGAACACCTGGATATATGTAGGCACACCCCATGTGTGAAGGTACCAAAGTAAGACAGAGAGGGCACTGGGTTCCCCCTGGAACTAGAGTTACAGGTGACTGTAAGCCTTGTGATGTGGGTGCTTGGGACAGAACCCAGTCCTCTGTAAGAGCAGCAATCACTCCTGACTCCTAAGCCATCTTCTCCAGCCCCCAGTTTGTGACATCATTTGAGTGGAAGGCAGACTTCTTGCAATGGTGATTTGTTCTGTAGACCCTGAGTGATGCACTCTAGAAACTAAGCCATACCGCTCCTGCTGGAGTATCAACCAACTTCTTCAGCCCCAGGGACCCCATAATGACTGCTCTCCTGGCTGGGCTCTGGCCTTTCCAGAAACCCTCCCCCATGCTTCTTTAGTCCTCTGCTGCCTCCCATCATGCAATGTGGCCTCATTTGCCTGCACAGAGCATCTAAATACATTTCAAAACTAGGTATTAAAACTATATGCGCTTATGGTATAGAGTAATATCTTGATGTTGGGTTGTGTTTTCATAGTGAAGTGGTTGCTACAATCAAGCTAATTACCATGTTTTTCTCACTGCACCATCACCTTTGTGTGTTCAGGACATCAAATCTCTTCCGTAGGATACAAGACAATGTGACTCCCCATACTCTATACTACTAAGTAGATTTCCAGAACTTGCCCATTCCCGCAATCCACAATGCTCCCTTGACTTGCATTTCCCTACCATCCATGCTTATCCACCAGGGTCCAGTTCTGTAGGGTAAAGACTGTGTGGTGACCAGCACTGTTTCCCCTGCACTCGGTCCAACATAGCAGGTCCTGAGTGGAAGCTGAGATTGTCCAGACAGTTTAGAAGCCCAAGGCACTGAGGATGCTACCCAGCCAGCAGGTGTTTCTGCTGTCAGCAAAGCTGACCCTGGAGTCTATACCCCCAAATCTACCATCCATTCCCTGCAGGTTCTGCCCACCGTACTGTTTAAAGGCTCCAGTCTCATTTCCTTGCCTTCCCATGTCCATGGGAGGAAGAAGAGAGGAGTCATGGAGACACCATGGAGTCGCCACCATAGATAGGCATGCAGAAACTTTGCTGGTAGGCTACAACCTCGTGGTGATGCACACATTAATGGAGATAGGTTAAATTAGTATGTAAGAGTTAGCCAATAAGAAGCTAGAGCTAGGGACCAAGCAGTGTTTTAATTAATAAAGTTTCATGTGGTTATTTTGGTTCTGGGCAGCAGGGATGAATGAGCAGCCCCCTCCTCCAACACATCTTCCCAACCACTCCCCTGTTGGCAAAACTGCCTGCCCTCTGGCTTTTAAGCCCATCAATCTGAGAGCCATCTCTTCCTTAGTTACTGTAGCTGGGGGCAGTTTGATTGACTTCACTATGAAAAGAGGCAGACTCTGAACCAGGGGTGGAATGACATGATCTCCACTCTGCTCTCTGCTCCATTTGGGTGAGAAGATCATCTCTGGAGATATGAAGTCATGTGCAAATGTTTATGGAAGCTACAGGCACAGAATGTTCCCTGCCCAGGTTTCCCTTTCATCCACTGAATATCCAGGACCTTCTGAAAGCATGACCTTGGAATTCACTAGACTCCAGATCAAATACCACCGTCTTTATTACACAATATTTGTATTACACCATTTGTAATGCACAGCTTTTATTACATGAGGATGTCTCAGGAACTCACTCCTCTGTTCTGTCATCTATACAATGGGTACAGAGAGGCCCATTCTGAAAGCCGGCTGAAGAAATGTACAAAAGTATGGAGTGCAAGGCTTGTGCCTTACTAGGGTTCATAATGACACTGTGTTCTTGCTTTTATATCTTGTTGCTGTTTGTAAGAACTAAGTTTCATGTTGTTGTATTACTGTCAAATCAGGGGTTCCCTGGTCCTGGAAAAATGACTGATTCACCAAAATGACATATGTGGGCCAGAAATTGATCAGAGATTTGTCCACCGTTCGCTTTGCCTTCCCTTCCTCTACATGGAAGCAGAGTCTCGTCCTTGGAGGGTAGAGCGGGAGAGCTAACGGTTGGTCCAATCAGAGTGACGTTAGCATCCAGCACCATCCCTGTCTCCTGCACAGCCTTTAGCTAGCCTTCTTTCACTCTTTCAGCAGAGGAAGGGAACGAAGAGTAAAGCCCCCACTTGGCATCATCCTCCTGGGGCTCAGAGAAGCAGGTGGAAGAGTTCTGAGAGGTAATGCTAGGTCAGTCACCTGTGGCTGGGCTAATGTTCCCCTGGGGACTCTTTCTGCAGGAAATAGGGAAATCAGCCTCAACTCGTAGTATCCTGGGCAGGGACACTCTGACAGAACAGTCTCTCTTTGCACACTGAAGGCTGGACCTGGAAGAGTGTCTGTTACTCCCTATGGGCTTCTGCCTCCCAGGGCAGCAGGATATATGTGAGACATTGTCCCCATGATGATTATATCTTAGACTTCAAAGCATAACTGTCACTTGCCTCTGAGAGCCTGAACTGGCCATGAGAGTGAGGGCAAAGCCGTAGCTGCACAGTCAAGGAGAGTTCTGCTATCAGCCTCCTAGGTAGAGGTGAAGAAACCGAGGACACAATGGGCAAGATCCTGGAGCTCTGTACCCTCAAAGCAGGGCCTCTGCACGGTGGCAGAGACACAGGGACAGTGTACTCTGACTCCTCCCAAAGATGGGAGCTCTCCAGTAGATGGCTCTTCACACCTCAGGCTCAGCAGAACTCCTCCCTCTTCAGCATCACCCTGTGAGCTCCCAAGTCCCATTTTCCTGGGCTCTTTTCTCCAGGCCTACATGTGACTCACTGATTGAACTCAAAGCTTGTGTCATGCCTTAGTTATCTAAGAATGCTCAGCATTAAGCACAAGGTCCGGCACAGGGGTGCTCAAAGGGCAAGGAGAAGGAGGAAGAAAGAGGAGGAGGGAGAAAACAGGAAAAAGGAGAAAGGCATTAATTACCTCCTTCTACTTGAGTGACTGCCTGTAACCTCCACTGAACCCTTAGAAAGCCATAGCCAATATTTCTCTCTTCCAACTTCACTGTTTTTCTTAGATGTTCCTGACTGGAACTGTGAATCATCTTCTGTCCGTGACTTCAGTGTTATTCCCAGAATTACCCCTGAACTCCAGCCCTTATCACTTCTTCCCCGTGTCTCTCCTCCCACACTGCAGCCAGACAGGAGACTGCCCATCCAACCCTAATAAAGAAATCTCTTCTAGGCTTACGGACGACGTGTGTACTGCACATAGCCTCTCATTCACAAGTGTCTGCCATGGAATTATCGCAGTGTTTACTAAAGTGATAGTTGGAAACCAGGAGGTAGTGGCACGTGCCTTTAATTCCAGCAACTGGGAGGCAGAGGCAGAGACAGGTGGATCTCTGTGAGTTTGAAGCCAGCGTGGTCTACAGAGCAAGTTCCAGGACAAACTCAAAAAGCTACAGAGGAACCCTGTCTCAAACACTCCCCCCCCCCATAAAAAAAAAAGTTGGAGATGATGATCTAAACGTCAGTAAAATAAATAGAAGCAAAGTACATACATTTTCTTCATCTACTGATAGAACCTCTGAACATTTACTGTGACTACACAGTACTTGGAAACGCTGGGTGAAGAGCTACAGGTATGTGCCCCATGTTCCCAATCTGCAAACAGATGTGCATGTGGAAAATGTAAATTAAAAAGAAACAAACAACTCTCCTAAGTTTTAGTTGGGAGTAGGAGCCATCTAGGATTCATTCTTAGAAAGTCTGCATTCTTTCTCACCTGTGTTCCTGTTGTTCACATCCATTGTCTTATTACTCTAGCTAAGACTTCAAGGGCTGTATTGAATAAGAGAGAAGAAAGTGGATGATCCTGTCACAGTCTTGATTTTGCGGAAATGCTCTGAGGCTTTTCACATTTAGTATGATGCTGGATGTATGTCCATCACATCATATAGCCTTCACTGTGTTGAGGTAGGCTCCTTATATCCTTGGTTTCCTCAGGGTGTTTATCATGAAAAAAATATTGGACTTTGTCCAAGGCCTTGCTTTTTCTATCAATATAACCATATCATTTCTATCCTTTAGCATATTCTATGATGCAGTACATCTATTGATCTGAATACATCGAAGCAATCCTTGATCCCCAAAATAAATGGAATGTGAACATGGTAAATAAATAATCTTTTGATGTATCATTGAATTTGATTCATAAGAATCTTATTAATAGATTTTACTCCCATGTTCTTCAGGTAGATCTGTTAATAATTTTCCTTTTTGTTATTTACATATTCATATGGTTATCAGAATAATTGTGATTTTTGTAATATGAACTTGGTGGCGTTCCCTACCATTCTGTTTTGGGGAATAGTTTGAAAATATTGGTGCTAATTTTTTTTTAAAAGTTCTGTAGAGCTGTGAAATGCCCCCCACCCCTCTAGGCTTGGGTTTTTTTTCCAGTTGGGAGACTATTTTATCACTGATTAAAACTTGCAACTTGCTCTAAATCTGTTGAAGGACTTTAGGTCCTCTTGGCTGGTATTGGTGGGTTAATCTAGAAATGTGCTCATTTCTTTTAGGTCTCCAGTGTTTTGGAAGATAGATTTCCAGAGTAGACTAATGGGGCTCTAAGCAGCACTGGTATTTGTTATAACGTCACTCTCTTCCATCTCTTTAATTAATTTGGGTCTCTCTCTATTTTGGTTGGTTTAACTTGCTTATTTGTTGAAGAACAAACTCTTTGTTTCATGGGGTTTGTGCTGTTGTTCTCATTTCCACTTCGTTCATTTCTGGACCAGTGTTTCTGCCGTCTTTCCATATGCGTGCTTGGAGGGTTGAGCTCTTGGTCCTCTCGGATGCTGGGATGCGTCATCGAGTTACTTATCTGAGGTCTTTCTGATTTTTTTAAAAATTACAGCTATAAATTTTATCTCATAGGACTGTTTTCATTGTATCTCATGGGTTTTGGTATATTACGTTTTCATCTTCATTTGATTTTAAAAGCTTTGTGTTTTCTTTCCTTATTTCTTTAACGATCCATTAATTAATTTTAAATAGCATCTTTTTAAGCCTCCACAGGTTGAATATTTTCTGTAGTTTCTCTTCCAGTTGATTTCTTGTCTTGTTCCATTTTGATCAGATAAAATGCACAAAGTTATTTTAACCTTCTTCTATCTGTTAGGAAATTCTATGTGTCCTAAAATAAGGTCCATTTTAGAGAAAATTCTGTGGGCTGCAGGAAATATTGTATATTATGTAATATTTGGGTGTAATATTTTGTAAGTGTCTGTTAAATTCATTTAATCTGTGATGCCATTTAACTCTGGTAGTGTTTTGTTTGTTTGTTTGTTTTCTGTCTGACCTGTCTACTCGTCAGAGTGGTTATGGTCACCCATAAATATTCTGTGGAGATCAACCTGGGTCTTTACAACTGGTAGTGTTTGTTTTATAAAACTGAGTACATTTACTTTGGTGTGTGTATTTTTAGGGGATTTCCTCCTTAAATTATCTTCTTTTTAACATAATATTTTTATTGATTATTTGGGAATTTCACCTAAAACACCCTGATCATACTCACTTCCCAGTCCTCCCAGGTCGACTCCCCTCCCTTGTGATTTCCTCCCAGAAAAAAAAAAAAAGAATAAAAATAACAGGAAAGAAAAGAAAAAAGTACCTAATCCACTTTGTGTTGCCCATATACTCACTGGAGCATGGTCAAACTCCCAGTGGCCAGCCCCTTAAAGAAAACTGAATCCCTCCCCACTCACCCCGACCAGAAGCCATCAGCTGTGAAGAGCTACATTTCAGCATCCCTATTACAATTTGTTGTTAGTTTTGTTTGTTTGCTTGTTTGTTTTTTCAGGGGTTGCTTTTTCTAAACAAAAATCTCTCTATATAGACCAGGCTGGCCTGGAACTCAGAGTTTCACTTGCCTCTGCCTTGAGTGCTGGGATTAAAGGCGTGAGCCACCATGCTTGGCTCCCTGAAGCAAGTTCTAAGAGTTCTCTTCAATGGTTTCCTGTCTAGATGAAGTTTTTGGGAGTGGGGGCACATTCGCAGAGTCCTTCTGTCTCTCATTTTCAACTGTGAGTCTGCAGAAAGAATCTTCCTGGCACTTTGGCAGCATGGAGCATAGGGTCCCACATGGTTCCTGGTGACAGCAAGGACCACGGACATCCACACATCTTCAACCTGGTCTCTAGAGGCAGTACAGACCATGGATATTAACACACAGACCATGGGTACCATAATGGCCCTCAACAACAGCCCAGGCCACAGATATCAACATGGCCTCCAGAGGCATCCCAGCCCACAGACATCCACACGACCTTTGGTGGTAACCTGGACTATGGGTATCAACATGGGCTCCTTTGAGAGTATAGACCTCAGACATCCATACAGCCTCCAATCACAGCATGGACCACACACATCAACATGGTCATTGGTGGCTTCATGGATCTTAAACATCAACATGGCCTCAAAAGGTAAACACAGAGCACATGCATCCACCTGGTCTCCAAAGGCAGCACAGACCACAGACATTCACATGGGCCTCAAGCCTAGACACGGTCTAGGGCAGCAGCATGGACCATGGATGCCAGCATGTCCCTGAGCTGTAACACAGACCACCTTTATATGCAAATACACCTTTATATGCAAATACTCACCACATTGAACCATTGGTCTGGTTCAAGGTTTCTGGTTTCTGAAGCACCATAAATACTGGACCATTGCCAAAACTTATCTTGGTTATCCTGCTGTTGCCTAGAGTCAGGGTGATGCTGCAGCTAGGTGGGGTGTCTGGAGGCAGTATTTGAGCAAGCTTCACACCACCACATACCTCCCCACTCTAAATGTAGACCACCTCGAGAGACACCAGGCATGACCACTGTGCTTGCAGCCTGAAGGCAGCGCCACATCCCTGAACTCTACCTCTCCCAACGCGGTAAGCAACAGCAGAAGCTCCGTGTTGTGGGCTGGCCCTCTGGCCAAAGACTGGCTTTATTCAGTCACACTATGTCTTTTGTCCACTGTGGAAAGGCTCCCACATCACTTCCGTATCACCTATTGGCACATCTGTAGTTTCATCATTCTCTCCCGAGGATTCAGGCTCTGTTCCACCATCTTTCCTTCCAATTTCATGAGTCTACATGAAAATAGGACTTTCATTTTTTTTCTTTTTTTTTTGAGACAAGATTTCTCTATGTATCTCTGGCTGTCCTGAAACTCACTCTGTAGACCAGGCTGGCCTTGAACTCACAGAGATCCTCCTGCCTCTGCCTCCCTGAGTGCTGGGATTAAAGATATGCGCCACCACCACCTGGCTGACCTTCATTTTTTTTCAGTTGTTCCAGGGACAGATACTATGGGCTCTATTGACGCCTCCTCGGTACCTGCTCTCAGAGACTCCACTGGTCTCTCGGACTTCTCAGAGCTGCCCTGAGGTCTGTGGTGGCTGCAGGTGGCTGTCATCATCTACAAGCACAGCCATGCTTCCCCAGGTTTTCATCTTCAGAGGTAATGAAGTGCTCCCAGGTCTGCTTCTGCACCACCAGCTCCTCCACATGGTCCAGCAGCTCGTAGATTGAGTAGATATTAGAGTAGGCTGCCTCAAATCACTGGATCTGGGCCCTGATGGCAGTTGAATTGGCCAGCCTGTGCCTTAAATTAGCTTCTTTATCTCTTCTAATTTTGACTTGATGTCTATTTTCTGAAATATCAGTATAACTAGACCTACATTTTTCCTGTTCCATTTGATGACTAGAATTCCTTTTTCTATCTTTTCACCCCAAGTCTTGCTTGTCTTCGCCAGTAAGGTACAGTTCTTGAAGACAACCAACTGCTGGGCCCTATTTTCTATCCAACCTGCTGTTCTGTGTCTTTTGATCAGAGAACTGATGTCATTAAGAGTTGTTATTGAAAGCTAGGTACTAATTTCTGTCATTTTGTTATTTTTATGGTGGTTGGTACTTTCCCAACCCTCAGTTGCTTGTCTCTTTGGGTGTCATGTGTGTTTATTACAGAAAGTCTTTGCTCTTACATCATTAAGGGTAACTTTGCTGGATACAGTCATCGAGGCTGGAAGTTATTGCCTTTCAGATCTTGACATACATAATTTCATGCCCTCCTGACTTTGAGAGTTTCTCTTGGGAAATCTCTCTTATTTTGATGGTTTGTCTCCATATGCAACCTTGAGTTTCTCTCCTGTCATGTTCTGTATTCTTCCTTCCTTCTGCATCCTTGGTACTTCAACGATAACATAATGAGCTGGTGCTCTTGTCATACTGTCTGTTTGGAGTTCTAAGACTCGTGTGGCTAGATAACCATCTCTCCCTGGATCTGAGATCTCCTCAGCTATGATCTTGTTGAACATACGCTGTTCACTCTGAATGACAGTGGCCTGGTCCTTACAGCCCAACTCCATGAAGTCAGTCACTGTCTGTCCCTCTCACATTCGTATTCTTGACCAGCTAAACTGATTTCTGTGTCCTATGCTTTGTGTTTCTGAATCTAATTCTCAAATGGTACACACACACATAAGCATACATGGGGTAGGGAGATGCACAGAGGGAAAGAGAGACAGAAAGACAAGGAGTGCAATTCTAGCAAGCGTTGATAACCCTCAGTGAATCAGGGTGAGCGCTGCATATATTAATAGCTGCAGCTATAGTCAGACTTTTTCAGATCTAAATGTTGATGGAAATAAGAGGACACTAGAGTATAGGGTCTAAGGACAAAGGCTCTGGAAAATTACCCAAGTTTCAGTTCCAGTTCTGTGTTAATTAGATGCGAAGTGGTGACCTCAGGTAAGTGACTCACCTTCTAAGCCCTGGGCTCTTAATCAGTAAATAGACCAGAGATGATAAAAACTCTAGCATATCCATTTCCTGTCCCGATGGTGGAATGACTAGTTTGGAATTTTGCAAAGAGGCTGGTTGGCACAGCCCCCTCCATGACTGCAAACTGTCTGCATCAGTGTTCAAGACAAAAATCAAATCCTTCACTGGAGTCCTGTACTCTCTATCTCCTGTGCTACTCAGCCCCAGATGACTAAATGCTGTGACTTTGGGATCTTTTGCCTAATGACTCTTCTGCCCCTGGTCCGTGAACACCGGAACATGGAAGCACGTTCCGTTGATAGCCTTATTTCTAGGTCCTGTCATAACACCTGGCAGAGAAGTGGTTAATGGGAACACGGAGCTCCAAATAAGAAACTTGAGGAGTTCAAACTAAGTGGTTAAGAGAGTTCTTTCATCGGGTACGAGCTTGCAGTTTTGCTGCGGCAGCCACTCCATTCCCACGGGTTTCCTCCAGGTAAGGCATCACCTTGATAAATTAGCTGTGGGTAGAGGCATCCTGCAGGTGGCATGGAAATGCAATTTAATTTCCAATTAAGCTCAATTTCTGGGCCAAGGGATTTGGCTGCCTCACACCGGGAAGATTATTTTGTCCAGACCTACCATTATTATGGGTAATGATTCTGCCACGGAGTGGACTCTCAAAGTAAAAGTCCTTTGAATCTTGAGGTGGCATGACAAGACAGCGGTATGGGTCCCAAGGGCAAGATGGCTTTCCTTCAAGATCGAAGTTTGTCTGGAGATTGTCAAGAACTTTCAAGTAAAGACAGTCCATTGCTATGTGGCCAACATTTTTAAGATGAACAGGGGAAGGAAGAGCAGGGCAGTGCTCAGCCATACTCTCCAGAAGGAAGCTGGAAAGTAGCCAGAGAGACAAGGCGTGGCAATAGAGCATCCTCAGAGCGCTCAACAGAGAAGAATCTGTGTGGTTGGAGTGGGGAGGCTGGCTTGCTGGGAAGGAGCAGGCGTGTGTAGAGCATCTCCAATGTACTGGGGACTCTGTTGAGTATTTGCACTCAGTCACCCTAAGCATGCTATAAAACAAATAAAGTGTCTCTCAGTTCCCAATTGAGAAAACTGAGCCTCGGGGAAGTGAAATGAACTGCCCAAGGCCATAAACAAGCTGATTTGAACTCCTGGTTTCCTAAATTTTCTTTTTTACAAGCTCTATCACCAGAGACCAACACAAAAATATAGTTGGGGCCCTACGAGTAATGTCACAGCGAGCAGGCACTTGGCGCTGAAATTGTAGGAAGAACCATCCCTTGAAGAGATGCCCTATAGGGAGAAAATAAGTGCTGTCTGCACCTTGTTGGTGCAATGGCCCGAGAGCAGGGCACCCAAGACCCAGTTCTGTTCGGATGTGTCCCCAATTTCCACACAAGAATTGAGATCCAAGAGCTGACTGAAGCGGGCCAGCGAGGCTGCAAACCTCGGATGGTGTCAGGAGCTTTACCGAGGATCCTGACTGTTCCCCACTAGTGTTTTTCCTGGGGACAGGAAATTCACTTTCAAGGGCTGGAAAAAATGCAAAGTTGGGCAGTGGTGATGCACGCTTTTCATCCCAGCACTCAGGAGTCAGAGGCAGACAGATCTTTGTGAGTTCAAGGCCAGCCTGGTCTACAAGAGCTAGTTCCAGGACAGGAACCAAAGCTACAGAAAAACCCTGTCTCAAAAAAAAAAAAAAAAAAAAAAAGCAAGGGCCTGAAGGACCACAGCCAGCATATTCACGAAAACTTTAGTTGGATGCCAAGAAGATGTCTCCTGGCCAAATTTTTATTAATGATAAAGATAAATATAAATGATTATGCTGTCGACGACTGGGAAAATTCTAGAGATGATTATTAAGTCTATGGTTTGTGAACACTGACTAAAGAAAGAAAGGGTCATTGAGAGAAGAGCGGGATCATGGACAAAGTCCCATCAAATGCTGCCCCTCTGTTCTGCTTTGTAGTAGTAACTAGCAATGCAAGCCTTCAGGAGAGTGGAGAATCCCTGGGTTTCAAGTGGCCAAAAGGCTTATGGGCCAGAAATTGTGGCTTCTAGTAGACTGTAGGCAGCCCCAGTTATTCTTGGCAGCACCCACCTTTCAAGCGTTCATACTTGGGAAATATTCTCAATTATTTCTTCTTTAGGAGACTAGGGTGGGAAGCCGTGAGAGCTGGGCTCTGTGGGGGCGCCATGGAGGCAGCACACAGGCTCTCAAAGTCCGGCCTTGGCACACTTGGTGGGCGAAGAGATGGAAGAGCAAGGCTCAGTAGTTAGAGACATAGTAAAGCGATGCTGTCTAGTTTATTTTTTTAAAAAAAAAAAATCTACTTGCTAACATCTAAGGCCAGTTAATGAATGTCTTCCTCATGCCTCAGTTATCCCATCTGTGAAATGGAGAAGCCAACATTAACCTGAAAGGTTCTGTTAGCAGTAAATGAGGCCTATGTGGAAAGGCTTGGCCCCCATCCCGGCACACAGGTGCTCCACAAATGTTAGTCTTTATTACTATTAGGGATGACAGATTGCCGCCTGGGGGAGTGGTTAGCTAAATATATCCCAGGATGGGAGGGCGGCAGCTTGGTCCAGTGAGTTATTCATCAAAAGTGTTGATGTAGACTGTCGCTGAAGAGAGATGTGGAAATATGAGGGCTTTCTCCCTGGCGATGCCGCTGACAGAAGATGGGAGAGTTATTTCTCCTCTGACACCAACCAGTTCTGACACTATGGGAGCTTCCTGCGGTGTAAGGCAGTTTTGATGCTACACAGAGTTAGCAGGAGACTCCACAGGTCGCTGGTGTGCTCACTCAAGATGGCCCTTTACAGTGCATAGGAGAAGAAGACCCGTTTTTGAGGACGCGTATGTTTAGTGAGCCTCTGATTTTATTCCATGTGTGTCATATCAGGAGCGTGGGTTGTGTGGAATGATGAGGATTATAGGGAATCAGAGTCCCGGTAATCCTCCTTTGACTGCAGCTTGGGAGAAGGAGCAAGCCTGGGGATATTTCACACACTCGATTCTCATTCAGTCTGGAGTTCGCTGCTGCTCTAAAACTCCCTCCCCATCTCCCAACCCTTTAGGGAAAGAAGCTGATGACATTGTATTTTATATTAGTAGGGAAGCTGGAGAGTTAGGTAACCCAGGAAGACCCTGAACTTTGCATTGAATGCATTAAATCTCATATGCAAATAAATGATCCAGGAAATTGCTTGTTGGTAAGAAGATAATCCAGCCATTGACCCTTCTGTAGTACCATGAACTGAGAGACACAGGCAGTCCAGAGAACCAAAACCTCCCTCTGTGCCTCGTAGGAATCAGAAGCACCGTACAGTGGATAACTATATCTCCACGGTGGGGAGAGGCATCATCCTTGTCTCTAGAAGCACTAACCCAACCCCCTAAAGCTGTCTGTGCTCAAGACCTGCTTCACTTTTGAAAACTATTGAGGATCCAAGGAGTGTTGGTGTGGACTTGTTATAGCTCTTAGTAGTTTCCGTCTTACAAAGTGAAACTGGCAACTATAAAATATCCTATTTCAATTTCTTCATTTAAAAATAATAATAAATCTATGCATGTTACAAAAACATTTTATGAAAAATAATTTTATCGTACAAAATTTTATCAAGAGAAATTTCATAGTTTTACGTTTAGAAGATTTATTTTTGCTTTTAATTGTGTGTGTGTGGGGTGTGTGTGTGTGTGTGTGTGTGTGTGTGTGTGTCTGAGTGTAGGCATAGGCATGTGCATATGGGTGCAGGTACCCCTGGAACCCAGAGGTGCTAAATCCCTCCAGAACTGGAGTTACAGGCAGATGTGAGCTTCTTGATGAGGGTGCTTGGAAACAAACCCCAGTCCTCTGCAAGGGAAACACACGCCCTTAACCACTGAGCCATCTCTCACACTTGTATATTTTTTGAAGATACTTTAATGTCTAGTTAACAAGCATCTGGACTCAAATCAAAGTTCTATATTTGATCGGCAGTGATAGATATATCTCACTATCTTGATCTGGAACTTCTGACCACATGTCTTTTGGAGAACAAGTAAGAAACAATGTAATCTCTGTCTCAGTATCCTTACCAAAGGGTTGTGGCCCCATGTGTCTCTGGGTTTTAAGGATCGCTGCCCTACACTCTAGGGGGGGATCTCCACGCTCATGCCTCCAACATGCATTTGCTGCCTCTCTTTCATGTGCCTGTGAAGGGACCTCAGCTGGTAAAGAGCTGGACAGCCTCACTTACTCAAGTAGCCTCTTCCCAAATGTTTTATAGAATTCAAATCCCTCCAAATACAAGAGGAACTAAAAGGGCACTGGACAGTCTAAGCAACCACCTGTTTGCAGCTGGCTGACCCAAGGGGGTTGGCAGCAGAAGAAACTGGGACTGAAACTTGTTGGTGTAGACGGAAACAGGAATTATTTCCCCAAATCACAAAAGTTAAGATTTCTACGTTACATGATTTTAAATGTACTCAATTCAGGTTTCCTACCACCCTTAATAATGGGTGATGGGGCTGGGGGTGGAGCAAGAAGAAAGACAGCTCCTTGGAGGCAAGGATGCATCAGACTCATCTCTCCGTCCTCCCTGCCTTCCAGTTTTATAGAAAGCAGAGGAAAGCTTTTCCGTGGGGAGCCTTCAGAAATGGAAGAGACCCACTTTCTTCTAGTCATGTCCTTGGCTGGAGAGCTGAAGCCGTTTCTGGCCTGGCACTACTAGGGTGCCTCACAAGGATTCTTTATTCTTCAAATCAGAAGCTCAAGGGTCCTATTGCCTCTGATCTCCATGAGGTGTCTGATTTAGGAGAAGGGCCACCTGAAGAACAGATCAGGCACACCTCTGTAGGTGTAAGTCATGCCTGTGAGAAACAATGCATAAATACAGGAAGCCCACGATGCCCATTAGTAGTGACTCACTCAGGGTAGGTGAGGGCCTTCTGTTTCCAGGCCAGCCATTGTTGCCAAGAGCATCTTTCCTCCTCATCGAACTCTGTCACACTCAAATATCCATTCTTTCACACGCACCATGGCCATGCAGTTCTGCGAGAAGATGGGTGTGGCTCTTGCTGGAAGAGGCCAGTCCCAAGGAAGTAAAGGTCAATGTAGCTAATGCACGGGGCAGGGGAAGCTAGGCATGCCTGCTTACTGATTCTGCTGGAAAACTGCATAAAGCAACCCCTTAAAGTCAGACTCCTTGTTGGGACTTTGCTTTCTCTTTTTGAATTGAATTTGAATTTGGGAGTAATTATAGATTCACATGTAGCTGTGAGAAATAATACAGAGAGATTCCTCCTAGCTGTTTGTGACTCTCCCCCAGGGGTAGCATCTCGTAAACTATACCACAGTATCCGAATGGGGACTTTCCCAAGGACTCCCATGACGTTGCTGATCCCCAGACAGAGATGCTCTGGGTAATGACAGATGCTTGTCCTTGAAAGGAAGGGTCACAGCTAAGAAACTGGAGGGTGACCGTGGATGTCAGGGCTGCCCAGGCAGAATTGTCGGATTGGATACAAGAATATAATGGTGCTGTTCACCTGCCTACCAGGCACCTATGTTGTGAGAGCATCCGAAGGGGCAACGGAGCAACATGCTACACCTCGGGTCTCTCTTCCTGTTCCTTTAAAGCCCATGGTGCCATCTTGGGGGCCCCATTCTAACCCTAATCACTTTCAAGTATTGTTAACATTAAATGTGTTCAGTGTCCAGCACCCGTGTTCATAGGGGGCATGTTGAAGCCATCTGCTGTATGGACTGCAAATTCTCATCCTGCTAATAATAGCCTTTCTTCTGTCCATGGAGTCTACCTAATATTGTGTCTTTCAGCTCGACTCTGACAGGAGAAACATCCCCTTCCAGCCCGCCCTCATCTCCCTGAGAGTGGCCCGTTTCCAACATTCTCCAAAATAGCAGTTCTGTATTGCTCTTCTGATTAACATCAACAAAACAGCATATGATCTTCCTATTACTCAAACGTGAAAATAACAAACATGGGTGAAGGTAAAAAAGAAAATTAAAACCAGCCACCACGCCGCACTTAATATTGATGTGTTTGTGTTTATTTCCTCGCAGACTTGTGTTGTTGTGTGAATGAATATTCTTAAACTCTGTATCAGCAGGTTCTGCCCCATTGGATTCAATCAACTGCAGATTGAAAGTATTTGGGGGGAAATTGCGTCTGTAGTGAACATGGATGGACACTTCCTCATCATTATTCCCTGAACAATAGAGAACGAAAGCCATTTGCAGCATTAACATTGGTGTGGGTGTTATAAGTCATCCGGAGATGATGTGAGGCACAAGGAAGGTGTGCAGAAGTTACACACACACACACACACACACACACACACACACACACTGCACCATGTTATATAAGGGGATTTTGGCATCTGAGGGGGACTCAGAACTAGTCCCTGTAGATATAAAAGGACAGCAGTCATTTTGAATTTTAGAATAATTTGTGTGTGGCTTAATGTCCTTGACAAAAAGCAATACATTGAGTTGCCCTATAAATTAGAGGTATTGTTTTGGTGACAACTTAAAGAAGATTTGGCCAAGGACAACATTCTGGGTGTGATAGGCAGGCGTTTGAACTAAGAGAGAACTTAGGAACAGAGGTGACACTATTCACCATCTGGGGGGTGAATAGTGGCCTAGCAGGTAACAGACATGAACTAATTGAGGTCAGGGAGAGGGGAGTTGTAACTGGCTGTCCCTTTGTCCTCCAATGGCTTCAGACCTCCCAAAGACATGGAACAAACAAAAGAGGAGACAAGAGGAAGAGAGTGATGAGCACCCCTGCCCATGACCCCTGCTGTCCCTGGTGACTTCCGGCGCTGTGGCACAGACTGGATTGGTCTACCTCTGAGCGGCCAAGATGGAGAGGGACCTGTTGAGTTTCACCATGGCGATAATGAGGAGGCCACCAGTCAGCAGGAAGGTGGGCCAGAAGAAGGAGAAGAGCAGGGTTTGGGGCCCATAGAGGCGCCGATACACAACGCTGGTCTCAACTTGAGGTGCAGAGAAACAGTAGAAAGCCTGGTGCTCGTGGAAATTGGCTCTGACCTTCTCCACATCAGCCAGAGCCATCTGGTAGTTGTCCAAGTTGCTAGGGATATAGGAGCACTGTGGGGGGAAAGCAAGGATGCTTAGGTTCTTAGATATTCACTTCGAAGAGGCTCAGGGTGAGGCTCTGGGGTATGAGGGGAAAAAAAACCAAACAAAAAAACTTGGACTTGGGAGTCAGCCCTTGTAGAGCATGGTTGGTGTCTGTGTCTGGGTGGTGGCTTTGGAGCCACTCAGCACAGTTGGATGCAGGCCTCAATTGGAGTTCTGGTTCTGTTTGCTGTGAAATCATAGGCAAATTGCTCATCCTCTCTAACCCTTTATGATTTCATTACTGAGATGGATCAATAGTGTCACAGTGATGGTCTAGAGAATCATGACTTAACACAAGTCCAGGGACAAGTCCAGGGTTTCTATAAACAAGCTTATGCAGGTAACAGCGAAGAGTGAAGCTAGGCAGGTAGCGTCAAGGCCTGGTGGAAGAGAGTGAGCCAGCTATATCCAGAAGGGAAGTCATCACTCCTGTGGACCAGAGACACCACACCATTCACCAACACATCCAGAGAAGCCAGAAAACCCTATTTTACTGCAAACTCCAGGATTTCAACACCCTGGCTAAGATCCAAGCAAAAGACTCTTTGAAGTCTAATCCTGTGTGAACCAAAGAAAATATGTTGGCAAGTGGCTCTGTGACAAACTCCAAAGCAAAGGGAGAAAGTGCAAAAAAGAGCTCCAGGCAGGCAGAACACAGCACACAGTTAAGCTCTGGCACTGATGGTTGCTATTAGGAACTTCTGGCCTGTTGAGATGATGAGACCCAGCTGCAGAGACAGCCCAGCGTGGAGACCTGGCTTTTATCTTTCCGTGCCAGAAGGACTGGATGCCGCCTGGATGAACCTCAAGAGATACTTTGCAAGGATGGACCTCTCTACTGACCTGCAGGAGAATACTTCTGGGGTGCCCTTCAGCATAAACTCCTACCCTGTGGGGTACAGGCTCGGGGGAAGTTGAGTTTGAGGGTCATGTTCTAGTAAAGTCATATCCAAGGTCAAATATGTAAACCTGAGGCCCAAGGGGCAAGTGTTGAGCTAGCATCTTCCCTAGGACCCTTGCCTCCTAAGCCGCATGCTCTGTGGGCACCTGGTCCAGCGCATGGACATGCTTCAGTGTGTTGCTAATGTCAGATAGGAGAGTTGCAAGCAGGTACAAGTCCCCAGTGAGCCAGGGAGAGCCGAAGCATCCGGGGAATCTGGCCCTCAGAGGTGCTGAGCACTGCAGGGTGTTTAGAAGCAGGACTGTCACTGGCTAACCTTGCCCATTGAACACAGATTTCTTTGTAGAGCCAGATAGGCCCAGGTCCAACCACAGCTTCCAAGCTGTGTGACCTTGGCAACTGGTACAATCTCTTAAACCTTGTGAAGTCATTTTTAGTGGTATCTGCCGAGAACAACCCTGGGGATTAAAATAGGAAACTTATGTAAAGCACTTGGTGAAAGCCCACATCTTATAAGTTCAAAAAGTGGAAGAATTAATAATAATAATAATAATATTGTTGCCTTACCTATGAATTAGAGTAACTGCAGCATCTTTTGCCTGCTTGCAGTTCCTCCAGGTTCTACACTCTTGATGTGTTTGTCAAGACCCTCACCAGCAGTTTCCTCTCCAGGCCAAGGCAAGGCCTGGGACCTTTTATCCCGTTCTGGCTGCCCTGGTACAACCTTCCCTGAGTTCTCTCCCTGAGCTGAAATGATACATCCCTGCCTCTAATCTGAGGCTTCACTTTTGTTAGCATGGACTGCAAAGAGCCCCTTCTCCTTTGACTGAGATTCATGGAAGGAGACAAAGCAGGTTGTGAGGAAGAATGAGAGAGAGCCTAGCATGTCCAGAGGCAAGTTATCAACCCGGAGTATCAGCCAGTCACGCATCCTGATGCTGGACCCGAGAGTGAAATGTGCTTGACCATCCCAGCAGGGCAGGCTGCTCTTCACTCTCTAGTTATAGTTTGTGGGTGCTATGGTTTAACAAGCCCCCCCTTTCCTCACTGGCAAAGAAGTCATACACACTCTTCACAATCCAAGCAGGGTTCAGACTAACCTCTGGCTCCTCTGGGCTGGCAGCCTTAATCCAGTGTGCCAGGAGAATAGTGCCATAGCCAAAGTTTCTCATCTTTGAAAATGTTTTTCTCACTGGAATAAATTAGAGTTTCTAAAGATGCCAAAGAGATAGCAGGAACCATTGGTAGAAGCTAGTCCTGGTGGGGCTCCGGATTCTTGTCCCATAGAGTCATGCTAACAATGGCCACAAGTCTGACCTCTATGCGCTGCCACCCCTAGCATCTATGCTGGTAGCTAACCTTACATGGCTGCTGGCTGTCTTTCCAGGATCTCTTGAATGGTGACCCTGGGCCTGAAGTAGCTTATACCAATAACATCCAACCTTAGATCATCTGGGGAGCTCCTCCGACTGATTATACTCAGGGGTTCTGTCTCAGCTGGTCTGGTATAGAACTCTGACTTCTTTTAAGTCTAGATGGTTCTCATGCATAATCAAAATTGAGATGCCCAAATATATGCTAATAATAATTTCATAGTTATACAGGAGAGGTTCTCAGGAAACAGACCTTAGACCCTTTCAGCCACTCCTGGCCACATGTCCCACTTCATCAGGTGGCATTTTTGGAATCAGTCTTCCAGTCACTTCCTTCGCCTAGCCTTCTCCCCTATGCCTATGCTAATCCCACCACTGCTGGGCCTCCCTCCTCCCTGTTTCTATCGTAAAGGAACCGCCTGTTTTGAAAAGTCTGACCCAATACTACTCTGTTCCAGAGCTCACGGCCAGCTGGAAATATCACCCACTTCCTTGAGCCCCATTTCTCTCTGCTGCTCCCTGTGGCACCCACTCCTCTCTCTCTCTCTCTCTCTCTCTCTCTCTCTCTCTCTCTCTCTCTCTCTCTCTCTCACACACACACACACACACACACACACACACAAACCCACACACAACACACACTCAATTAATGTTCCTACATATGATCTCTCCTCTTGAGACCCATGGGCCTGATATGTGGAGGCTCAGTGGTTGTTGAATGAACAGGGATGTGAAAGAAAGAAAGGGAGGGAAGGGGACCAACTTGCCTGTTCAGTAGAGAGGGTTGTGGTCGTGATGGGGCTCCAGGTTTGAGGGAAACTCTCTTAAATATTTGTTATGGGAGTTGCTGTAGTCCAGGCTCCAAGGCCGTGGATTTTCCCAGCTCAACTGATGGACTCAGTTGGTGGAAGAAGTGACTTCTAGTGACTGCTTCTCCTCCCTGAGGGCCCTCCATTTGCCAGCTCAGGGCTTTGCACATTTGCATACAGCACTGAACTTTAGTGCCGCAATTCTGGGTATGGCGTTAGCACCCACCAACAAGGGTGGAAACTGGGACCCACAGGGCCTCAGCGACCTTCCCCCAGCTGTCAATGAGGGGCAAATTCAAACCACCCACATCTGTCTGATTCCAACCCTGAGGATTCAAGGATGACTTCTCCTGCCAGCCAGAAGACACCATTCAGGTGGGTTATCTTGGCTTTAGAAACATGGGCAGCTGGGGACAAGCTCACATGTCTGACAGGGCTAGTACCCAGTCCCCATTCATTACCTGTTGGTTTTGGTCCTGAGTGTCTTCTGTGTGGTACAACATGGCCCACTGGCCCACAACTGATACATTGACCCAAAGGCATGGGTACCGGGGCACCTTCTTGCCCTCCAGCTCCTCGTGGTCCTTGACATTGGCTTCAATCAGGTGACAGGTAGACTCTTGGGTCCACACACTGGGGAGACAACACACACACAAACACACACCTCAGAACAAGGGTGACACATACCCACTGGGAATCCCTGTTCCCTTAGAGTCTTTGGAAAGGCCCAGGGCTGGCACCTTCATCCTGCCACCAGCATGTAACGCTATCTAGGTCCATGGACCCAGAGTCCTGGACTCTGGCGTGAATCACAACAATTTCAGACGAGTTGGCTTTTGGGACTTTTTTCTTCATAATGGTTCTCTGACCTTGCTACCCACCTCACGCCTAAGAACTTTTTTAAAAAGATCCCCATGACTGAATCCCATTCTAGAGAAAGCAAGGCAGAATTTCTCAGGAGCTTGGGTCTGCGCTCTGGCATTGTTTAACATACTCATCACGGGACTGTGAAGAGCAGCCAAGTCTGAGACCCTGTTCCCCACATCATCTCCAGGTCACAGGTGTAGATGACAACCTCAGATAGGATAGGTGACTTTTTAGGGGGAAACACAACACCTGAGGCAAGGACCGAGGGGCTCAGAATCTCTGCCCTTTCCCCTTGAAAACAAGGAACTGTGTGAGGGGCTTGATATGGTCGGGGCTGGAGGGCGGCAGCATAGCGCTGGAGAGGCAGGCACAGGCCTGCTCAGCAGTCCCTCATTCGGGTGGCATTCAGGCCTGGCCCGACAGTGACATTGTAAAGCAGGAACACACAGCAGGACCAGAGGAGGTCAATGGGCTCTTAAACGCCTAAGCGAATGGATTGTGACTTAGCTGCCTGTATCCTGTGGGAGACCTGCTGCCAGACAGGAGAAGGTTGTCGGCAGCCAGAGTATGCCCAAAAGCCTCCTCAGCCAAGGCTGGGCTGAGAGAGCACTCAGGGACTTCACAGCTCTTCTTTAAAAGCTGGAGGGATGACATACCAGGGAGTGAGGTGCAAGGGTATGGAGCACTCTCCAAGAGTCCTGCCTAGAGTTTGGGGGACCAGATGTCAGTTGAGCAGAGAAACTCCCTACTTAATGGAAAAACCCAGGCAAGTAAAGGTGTGCCCTGCAAAGAGAGAGTCCATCTCGGAGTCATGTGTGCAGACTGCTGCCAGTCTGCCATGCCCATTCTCCCCCATGTGGCACACTCTCACTGGAGGGTTGTATCCTGTGGCTGTCACCACCAAGTCCTGGACCAGCAAGGCGCTTACTTGTCTGCTTCTCCAGCACTGGAACCTATAAGCTGAAGGATGTGAACTGCCCTTTCTGTCCAGCTTACTGAGAGCGGTCAAAGGTAGAGCAGGTAGAAAAGGCTGGGGTTCCTCCAGGCAGAGGGGAGGTTCCTACCTTTTCTGGTAGAGAGGCAGCACCGTGGTACCCAAGATATAGTAGGTGATGGCAGCACACACTACCATTGTCACCCCCAGGCAGAGGGCTCGCGTCTCTCCGCGCTTCTGGGCCATCACCAGCTTCTTCCCCATAGCCACTGGGGGCAGCGGTCATTTTTGGCACCACGGAAGGCAAAGAGAAATGGGGATAGAAGGAAGGTCAGGTGAGAGGGATGCAATCAAACACCAGCATCGCTCTTATTCTGCATGGAGCTTGGCAACTTCCACAGGGCAACACCCTGTGGTGCAGGCCCCACCCTGGCCCCAGGCCATCTGCTAACAGCCAGTGATTATTTTTTCAACACTCAGAACCCATTATCACCAATTATCTCTCTGGGAAACTGGGCACACTTGTCAGGGATTCCTCGTGGTGACTTCTTCCAGTGAGCCCTCTGAGACTGCCGGGCATTAAGGTTAGAACGTGGGGTTCAGAAGGGCAGGAAAGGGAAGCACCTGTTCCAGTGGGGTCCAACCCTGTGGCTTGCCCCAGTCTCACCGCCTGCAATATCCTGATGGCTCACCAGCCTCCTGGAGTGAGTTCTAAAAGAAACACCAGCTCCTGTGCTCAACCATGGATTCTGTTAAAATGTAAAACATAGGTGGGGATCTGGGATTCTGGAAGCTTAACGAGAATCTCCAACAGGAAGGAGGATGCAGACCGTTGATGTCCCACATGGCCTAGACAGGAAGACGTGTGTTTCTTTGATAAAAGAAGGGATTTCAGTTAGACTGTAGGGAGAGTGTCCCAGTGAGATGCTAAGTGTACCTCAGGACACCTTAGATCGAACTTTCTATGGCGAAAATTCACCCTAGATCTGGGCTGGATTTAGGGACATTGGAAAAGAGTTAAAGAAGAGCCTTGTGTGGCTTAACCATTGGGGTGGGTGACAGCCTCTTCCTTAGAAGGCCCGAGGATAGAGTTTATTTGGGGGGTGTAGAGAAGAGAGGGTCTGAGGTCATCAGACAGGAGATCAAGTCCTGGCTTAGCTGCTTAGCAACCACGTGAGTGTAAAAACAAGAAAAGTGGTACCCACCTCAGAGTCCCAGTGCAGACCTACCAATACTGTCGAGCGTCACAAATTTGCCACAGTGGAACCCTCCATACACAGTAGCTGCCATTAACTGGGGAGTCGAAAGAACATGGGGCACTTCCCAGGCCTATCTGTTATCCCTCTACTGATGATAAGTGACCAGACTGCTCCTGGTCCCCAAGCTGGCCACTGAAGTGACTCTCAGAACTGAGTCAACATGCCAGGTCCTCTGGTGCCAGAACTCAGAAGGGCAACAGAGGAGGATGGGGAGGAAGGGGTTTCCACCTCCCTATCCATGCCATTGCAGGCTGCCCTCTGTCTCCCACCATCGCCCCTCAGCCCCAGCTTCCAGAAGCCCTTGTAAACTCTCTGGGACGCAGTACTCACAGTTCACTGGGTCTCCACTGGCAGATGGTTTCTCTCCACCCGGTCCCCCGCCCCCACCCCAAGTCAGGCTTTAGCAGGAAGTTTGGTCTCCCAGTTGGTCTCCAGGGAAGCAGTCTTCAGTCCGGGCTGGGTAGAGCCTCCATGCCCAAACATGGTCAGGTCTGAGCACACAGCTTGCCTCCGGGACAAAAACTCCACAAGCAGGTACAGAGCCCTGAAGCCCTCAGCTGCTGCTGGGGACTCTGCCCCTGCACTTCCCTGAGTCTCCTGGGAAACAGATGTCAAGCAGCGAAACCCATTGCCCCCCTCACCAAGACCCATCCTTATATATACGGAAATGTTTTTTCTACGCTTCATCTTCCATCTCTCTGGCTAGCAGGGAGTCCAGGAATAGGAAATGATCTTCCTCGTGTGGTGCAGGGGAGGGAGGTATAGGGGTTGGGCTTGTCACTAACTCTGGTCTATCCAACCCAGAGTAGCCAAAGCTTCCCTGCCTTTGTCACCGACATTCTATGTGACTCTGAACCAGTCACCACACCTCTCCGGCCTCCGTTTTTCTCACGTCTATCATTAACATTTTGAAAACTTAACTTTGTTCAGGATTGTGGTGCAGTTAGAGATGGAGGAATCCAGAGACGGGAGGACACCCCATCTTTTGAGGACCACTGGCGCTGAGGCTGGAAGTAAGGAGCCCCCCAGCTGCTTCCAGCCAGCTATCCAGGTCCAGGGTCGGTGCCATGTTGGGAACCTCCTACAGACCACCTTTGTCTCATAGGCAGACACTTGTTGCATCCGAAAAGACAACAGAACATGGGTTCTGGGAGCAGACCTGCTTCTGCACCCCAGGTGCTCATGAATAAAGACTAGAGTTGAGAGTTAAGAGCCAGGCAGGGATGGCACATGCCTTTCATCCCAACACTAGGAAGGCAGAAGCAGGTGGGTGAGTTTGAAACCAGCCTGATCTACAGAACTAGTTTCAGAATAGCCAAGACTACACAAAGAAACTCTGCCTTTACACACACACACACACACACACACACACACACACACACACACACACACACACACACAATGACGCCCTGATATGCATTTGCATGGGACTGAGGCCTGCAGACTTGATGGCTAGTCCGAAGTTTCTCTAGTTGATGTGCAGATCCGAATTAGAAGCTAGCCCTCCCAGTGGCACATCCCAGCCATCCCTGCCCACCAGGAGGCTGCTCTAACACTTCATATCATACCTGTGATATGTTCCCAGCCATCTGAAGTTCTGGAGGTCACCTGTGGTGTCCCCAGCCCCAGCGCAGTGTGTGCAGCTGAGATATTCCTGCCCTGTGAGTGTTCTCACTTCTCACAGAAGCCTGCTGCCTAATGATGAGGAGGTGGCCTGGGGCCCAGAAGGAAAGCTATCACTCAGGGCTCCTTGATGCTCTGGTGGCGAGCACCATCCCATCCCTCTTTTCTCAATGACTTTAACAAGAGAGCTAATCATCTGTTTCATGGGCCTCGTACCAAATGGAGATGTACTAGTGTGTATGTGAATGCATGTAGGGGGTTCCTGTGTGGTTTATGCATATGTATGTGGTATGTATGTGTGGATGGATATGTGTGGTATGTGTGTTATGTGTTTGGTGTGTGTATGGTGTGTGATATATTCATACATGTGTGAATGCATGGAGTCTGGAGTGGGGACACTGATGTTCTGCTCTGTCACATGCCAACTTACACAGGAAATTTCACAGAGCCTAGAGCTAGGAGGATGGGCAGCATTTTCCAGCAAACCCATGTCCCTGCTGCTTACGGTGCTTAGGTATGCACCTAGCTATGCCCAGGTTTTTACATGGGTACTGGGGATTTGAACTCAGTCCTTATGCAGGTGAGAATTCATACCCGCTCAGTCCTACAGACAGGGATCTCTTAAAGTATGGGGGACAGGAAAATTGACAATGAGGGGAAAATATAAATATGAGATAAATCCTTAGGAGAAGATTTTTCCAATGATGGCCCATTGTCCCTTCAAGGACCAAAAGCTTTTTCCTGGAACCTACAAAATAACTCAGAAATTTCTCCCTTGGGAGAGAGATGTGGGCGATAGATGGTTTTTTATGAATGTCAGCAGAGGGCCTGTTAATAATCCACACAGTGGGTGAGGAAACTTTACACAGTTGGGATTTATAAACACTGTGGAGCTTCCCAATGTTTTTTTTTTTCCCTTTTGGAAATAGAACAAATCAGTGACAGCACCTGCTGCCCTCAGCTGAACCACAACCAAAACACAAGGGCAAGCCTCGTTCCCCCTCTAGGAAAAGTTAGTGAAAATCTCGGATCCTAGCTGAGTTTGGGAGTGTTAAGGTTAGTATGTGTGACAGGCAGCCACAGGTGAAAGAGACAATGGTGCCATGCCTGGAAAGTTTAATGGTTCTTGGAATGTCGGTGTGATGAAATGTTGAAAAGAAAATGGCCCCCGTAGGGAGTGGAATTATTAGGAGGTGTGACCTTGTTGGAGTAGGTGTGCCCGTGTTGGAGGAAGTGTGTCGCTGTGGAAGCAGGCTTTGAGATCTCCTGTGCTCAAGCTGCACCCAGTATGACAGTTCACTTCCTGTTGCCTGTGGATCAAGACATAGACCTCTCAACTCCTTCTCCAGCACCATGTCTACCTGCATGCTGCCGTATCTCACCTCATGGACTAAACCTCTGAAACTGTAAGCCAGCTCCAGTTTAAATGTTTTCCTTTATAAGAGTTGCTGTAATCATGGTGTCCCTTCACAGCAATAAAACCCTAACTAAGACAATCAGAAACCATGAAACACCTCCAACTGTATCCTTCCAACAAACTCTGTGATGGTAAGTACAAGGCTCACAGTGGTACTCTGAGGTAGAGGCTTTCTACCTATTTTTGGGATGTAGCTGAGGCTCATTTGGGTTAAGTTGCCCAACACAAGTCACCTGGAACCTTGTTCTGTCCTTCTCCAGGAGAGAGATACTTGTGCCATCCACCCTGCATGACTTTAAAGACTGGGCACACAATTGAAAGTGTGCTTTCCAGAGACAGCCACTCCACATACCATCTATGCCCCCACAGAGCAGTACTCATGGCTCTGCTTTAGCCTGGGTGGACCTCTGTCCCTGCCCACTCAGACAACAGAATATGCTGATGGGTGCACTGCCTGGTAATCAAGGCTGAGTTATGCTTAGGGCTACAGCATCCCCTGGGCGCCTTCTCTTGAAAGAACACCCATACCCCAGGAAGCTGAATACAGGTTGCAGGCAGTTAACATCTCTTTCCAGACATGAGAGTGATCACACCCAAAGAGGGCTGCAGTCCTGCACTGGAGTGGAGTCGAGTCTGCTTGCTGAAAGCCTTGGACCACAGAGCAGGAACAAGCTAACCCTCTGGCTCTCTCAACTCCAGATCTACAAATCCAAGAGCAGAGGAAATGCATGGCTCATGCCTCTGGGTATGCTTTGAGGTGATTTGCTGCACAGTTGTCATAGCAAGCATATAGTCAGGGATTTTAAATGGAGTGGTCCCTGTTGCTGATGGCAGAAGGACCAAGCCAGTAGGGGGTCAAAGTCTGAGATGACTGCATTTGTGGCAATGCAGAGCTAGGAAACTCCAGATCTACCTTCCTGTTCACTCACACTGCTACATGTTTGGAACCAAAGGACAGTCAGGAGAGGGTGTTTCTATTTACTGAGCATCTACAGTGTGCCATGGTACAGGTGATTGGTCAGCTCTTCATGGCTGATAGGTTTGTTTTGACTCCTGTGTTCAGAGGCTTCAGCTCTGGTAGACTGGCTCTGTGGCCTGCAGGGCTGTGATGAGGATGCAGTGCAGACAGGAGCATGTGGTGGGAGGGGGCCTCTCGTGAGGGACGGGATGAGGGACAGGATGCAAACAGAGAGAGAGTCCAGGAACACAAGGATGATACGCCCTTCAAAAGCACATTCCGGGTGACCTACTTTCTCCCACAAGGTCTTGCTCCCTTAATTTCCACCACCTCCCTGTAGCGCCATCTGCTGGTGACCAAGCCTTCGAAACATGACAAACATTCAAGAATCCAACCAGAATACAAACCTGTATGGGTCACAGTCCTCCCTTCTCTGAAGATCTGCTTTTTGCTTCTTTAGATGTCCATTGTATAAACATGAACAGAAAATATTTAACAGAATGTTCCAGAAATAAACTATTAGTAAGTTTTAAATAGCTTTCATTCTGGGACACTGCTTTAGTTACTAGTAGTTATTATCTCTGTCTGTGCCTCATGTATAAATTATTAACTTTGTCATAGGTGTGCACGTATAGAGAAACCCATTCTTCATGGAGTTAGCTGGTCACTGTGGTCTCAGGTGTCTAGGGAAAGTCTTGCAAAGTACACAAATACACATCCATTGCTCTCAACAGTCCCCACAAAGGCCTGTGCTTTCTGTCAACACACAAATCCAGTGATTTTCCCAGACCCATGCCCCAGAATGGGATGTAAAAGTCCTTGTCCTGAATCTGTGCCCACTGACTCAACAACCCAGAGGGGTCACCCATGACTCCCATGAGAGCAGTTGCCAAGAGGATCAGGGTGTCTCTATGGCAGTGGTTCTCAACCTTCCTAATTCCATGACCCTCTAATACAGTTCCTCATTTTGTGGTGACCTCCAACCATAAAATTACTTTCATCGTTACTTCATAACTGTAATATTGATACTGCTATGAATCATAATGTAAATATCTGATATGCAGGATGTTTGATATTCGAACTCTATGAAAAGGTCATTCGACATCCCCCCCCCCAAAAAAAAAGCAGTTGCAATCCCCAGGTTGAGCACTGCTGCTATCTGGTGCCTATGCAGCTGGTGTGCAGCCACCCTCAGTCTCTCTTCCGATTTGCCGCTTATTTATGTAAATGTCTTTGAAGCATCTAGCTTCCACCAACCTTGGTGAGTGAGTCCCATGAACCAGCCAGGTCTGGAGCCTCTGCTCAGTGTGCATCATTTTCTGAGT